CACCGTCACCAAGCCATGCCGAGCTCAGGAGGCAAGTGATCATATATTTTCACCTGAAAACATTGTTAAACACGTTTCCTTATGTTTTTATTATAAATCAAATGTATTATTGTTTTCAACTTTTACAGGCTATGGTGGATATCGCGGTTGAGGACTCCAAAGAAATGTGCGTGGTACTTAAAAGTCTCGGAATCGGCTTTCGTAATTTAATAAAGTCTTCAAACACACCATTACTTTTATATTCCTTATTCCTTGAGACAGAATGATAACTCAAAGATGAGAGCACCTAACAATATCCGTCGAAGAAACTTGTGATGAATTCTACATATATATTATATGAGAGATTTGTATTCATACATATGCTTTTATATATATATATATATATATATATATATATATATATATATATATAATGAGATATACATATACATGCATATGCTTTTACATAGAGATAGATTCCCCGCTTCGGCTTATTCCAGTTCCGGCTAACCCGCTTGCGTAACAAAATTCGTTCTAATAGTATTAGTTCATAGAGTTGTTTGATAGATAACAATAGTAGATAAAATAATCAATAAACAGATATACATACAACACACATGGAAATAAATCTATCATAATATAAAAATATGTAGATTAATCTAACAGAAATAAAATGGACACAAAATTAAGCATCCCAATACCGGGGGTAACGATACCAAAAAGTTGAAAAACATTGTACTTGGCTCAAGGTAAGCATGGAATCTTTTTTGCAAACTATTACTCATTTATCAGGCAGGATTTGGGGTTGTGTTGAACTGCAGAAAATATTGAAAACATGTGGAAAAGCAAGGGAAAAAAAGTGAATTGGCCATTAAGTACATTAGTAATGGTACACCTTTCCCTTATTTTTGGCATTCATTTCAAATAGAAGATTGCCACGATTTAGCAAGAATGAAAGAAATCACGCATACACACACACACACACACACATACACACACACACACACACACACACACACACACACACACACACACACACACACACACACATATATATATATATATATATATATATATATATATATATGTATATATTGTGTGTGCTTGTTTGTGTATGTGTGAAAAGTGAACCAGTCATAATATGAAATAGAATTAAATCGTACCCTTTCTAACTCTTTCTAACTATATATTTATATATCAGTGTGTGTGTGAGTGAGTGTGATAGTGTGTCTACGCACACACTTATATATACATATATGTATATACATAAATACATACATACATACATACATATATGTATATACTGTATACATATACATACATACATACATACATACATATATATATATATATATATATATATATATATATAGATAGATAGATAGATAGATAGATAAGTGTGTGAGTACACACACACACAGATATATATATATATATATATATATATATATATATATATATATATATATATATATATATATATATGTACATATGTATGTACATATATATGTACATATATATACATATATATGTATGTATAATATGTATTTATGTATTTATGTATATACATATATATATATGTGTGTGTGTGTGTATGAACATATATATATATATATATATATATATATATATATATATATATATATATATATATATATATATATATATTATTTGTGCGTGTATGTTTGCCGTGTCTGCGAATGTGCGTGTACGCACATACACACACACTGTGTCTGTATTAGTGTATTCATATATAATGTATTTATATATGTATGCATATACGTGTTTTTATTTATGTATGTATGTAGGAAATGAATAAATAAATGCATAGACATGGATCGATTTCAGTAATAATAAATCTAAAAATCCAATTCATTTTCAATGTTCGTCTGCTCTGAGACCGAGGTTATCTAGATGAACAAGGTTTGTCAATACACGCGCGCTCTGAGAGAGCCTTTGTACTGTCAATATATCCTTTTATACTTTTTTTCTGGTGCAGAGCTTATGAGCTCCTGAAATGCGAGTAGAAGTGTTCCAAATGCTGAATAGTAGATAATGATGATGATGTGCAAGAGAATGTAGAAGTAAAATGGTACACGTACATTATGCATCTGATTTCAATACTTTTGAAGGAATTTAGATTTTTTAAAGAGATGAAAGGAAAGTGGGAAAAAAATCCTTTTTAGTGTGATAGAGAGAGAGGTTGTTTTTCTCTATTTTTTTTTTTTTTTTTTTTTTTTTTTTTTTTTTTTTACAAAGAAAAGCAAGACAAATAACATAAATGTTTGACATAAATGTATATAATATATATATATATATATATATATATATATATACATTACATTTATCTATCCATCTATCTATTCTCTCTCCCCTTCTCTCTCTTTTCTCTCTCTGCATACACACACACACACACACACACACACACATACACACACACACACACACACACACACACACACACACACACACATATATATATATATATATATATATATATATATATTCATATATATGTAAATAAATATACATATATACACATATATCTATCTGTCTATAGACACTACTAAATATCCTTTCCAGTACAGTACTGTGTGCGTTCATTTCCCTTATATTTTTATGTTTTCTTACTTTTTATATATTACTTTGTTAACTTCAACAACAGGGAAGAACGGTGTCGATGCTTAAGGAATTTGTAATATTTATTATGTCACTGCTCCTCATAAACAGAAAGTCCAGCTTTGTATGCTTTCTATGGCATATTAAAGTGCAAATGATGATAATGATAAAATGCTGTGGGTGATGTGCATGTTGTTAAGCACACACACACACACACACACACACACACACATATATATATTATATATATATATGTGTGTATGTGTGTGTGTGTACATATACATTTACACATATGCACACACATGCATTTACATAATCCAACAAAAACAAAGCAGGAATCTGACATCGACTTTTCTCCCGCAGTTTGCTTAGTTCAGTGTCTCGCACATGCCATTGCGGAGCTGGAGAAAATGCAACAAATCTGCTTACGTGTGTGGCAAGACATTATACCATCAGAGGTTTGACAATAAACAACAACTTTGCAACTCTTTATTGGGGATTGTAAGAGCCCAAATGTTGGGTCCTACAAGAGTTGGTAGATGGCGAGCAAGGGGTTTAAGGTAGACAACCAAAGTGTCTTAACTCCATTTATTGAATAGGATGTTGGAGTGCGGCTGCTCCTCGGAGCGAGATGTTGCTCCTTGGCTCCCCGGAGGGAGTCTGCCTGATCTCCTATACACTGGTTTAAAGATCGCACCAAGTCACGTTGTTAGCATGTGACGAACGGTGATGAACAAGGAAGCTTTACAACAATACATAGCTCTTGTGGAAGAGATAAACACGACATTCTAATGTCTGGTGAGGCAAGAAGAGAGGAATGAACAGAGGAAGCAATGGTCAGGCGTAAATGCATATGTATATGTGAAGATACGTATGTGACAAACATGTAAGATTACATATATATGTATCATATAGTAATTAGATATAGATATAGCTGGGCTACAGGGATCAGCAACGTTAAGACCATTTCCTTGAAAAAAAAGTGTTTTGAAATCAATGTATCTAATCATGTTTAGTAAAAATGTGAAAATAAAAAGTGGGTAGTAAAGAGACAGAGAGGGGGGGGGGAGTAAGCGAAAGAATAAGAGAAAATATACAAATACGTGTGTGTGAAACGTTTCTTTATACATACACATGCTGCATATGAAATACAACATGCACATAAAGTAAATAAACGCACACTTAACTGTACGACTGTACGTTTCTATTCATGAAACAGTATAGGAAAGAGAAAGCCTCCCTGCTATGAATATAATGATCTCCCTTTCTTCGGTCACTGTCGAATCACTGCTTCTATATTACTCATTTATTATGGGCCATATTTGGAAGACAGTTTTGAACTTTCTTCCGTATGGGGCTTTTCCTTTTTTTCTCCTTTGGCATTTATGAATGTCACTCCGGAGACCACAGAAGATGGTGGCTGCTGTGCAACATCCTCCTCCAAGCTTTTACCTCAGAGACACGTACACAGGCCCTCCCTCGTTGCTAAAACCCGGAATTATATTTGTTGGCGGTAGGAAGGCACATATGTATACATCTAAATCATTTTATATGCACCGTATTTAGATAGACAAATAGGCAGATATACATATTTAATATGTATGCACACACAGGGTTCGTAAATAATAATGTGCCTTTTGCCTGAATATCGTCTTAAAATATGACCATCTATCAATGCATGAAATAAGCAGAAAAGAAAGAGGCTTATGTGTGGATATGTGGGTGATGCTCTGTCGGTTGCCAAAGAGTAGAGTTCATATAGAAGGATGCTACATGTAATGGTAATGATAATAACAGTGACACTGGACATTCTCGGGGAAATGATGAAAGGGATAATGTTGAACATGAAAGTGATAACAAAGGTTATCACTTCAGTCAACATCGGGATGGTTATTATCACCACCGTTATTATTGTTGGACTTTTAATCTTGATTATCCTTGACTATTTCGTAGTATATCCGTCAACAATTTTGTAATCATTATATATCGTATCGTATCACATATCATTATTGTGACTGACATTTGAAATAAAGCTATTGGCGTTGTCAGTACCATAACAATTACGTTTTCCTTTCACACATGTATGTGAATATATATTTACATTGCACAGTCTTCTACTATGTAGTCAGGATGGCCGAGCGGTCCAAGGCGCTGCGTTCAGGTCGCAGTCCGGTCTTCCGGGCGTGGGTTCGAATCCCACTCCTGACAAGAGTTTTAGAAAGAGAATTATATGCCATACACTAAAAGTCATCTCGGAAGAGAAACTGATCTTGATCGTGGGCGACTGACTACCGTTCTGTGTTTACCCTTTAGCTTTTCAAGGGATTGCCCTTCAATACCCAGCATGTTTCTTGATGTGTGCTAAAAAAATCCTTTTATAAGGGCCTTCATGAAAATACTAATAATAATCAATAATTTTATTAAGAATTATACAATATTCTCCATAGGCGATAAGGAAATTGGTCTGCTTTTCAGCCGTGGTAGCCATAACCTGAGAAAAAAAAATGATTCATTAAAAGGGGCCAAGGAGTGCTTTAATGAGTTTCACAAGCGGGAAGAAATGCACAGAACCGTCTTTCTATAACATATCAGATCCAAGAAGACACAGCGACCTACCTCCAGAGGGCTTGCAGTACTGGTCGACGGTGACGTACTCCTTCTGCTGGACGGTTGTGGTGACGTACTGTGGCACTGTCTCCGTCACGTAGTGGGGCACTGCCTGCGTCTGCGTCACATAGTGGGGCACGGCCTGGGTCTCTGTCACGTACTGGGTGGTGTACTGGACGGAGAGATGACAGAAAATTCTTTATACAATTAGCTTAGATAAAACGTATAAGGAATGGGAGAAATCAAGATGTATAAATGAGTAAATACCTTTATTCTACTAAACTACCTGAAGGTGTGAGCAAAACTAGACAGGATAAATAGTTAACAGGTACTTACCGCGGTTTGGTACTGTGTCTGGGTTTGGTATCGGGTCACAGTCACATACTGGGGCACTGACTGCGTCTTGGTCACGTACCTGACCTCAGGAGGGCACGGCTGTAGAGGAAAGAGACAGTTTAGAAATTCCAAATGTCTAGACAGGTCTTTGTCTGAGGACTGGAAATAAAAGTGAAATGGGACTTTGGATTTTGAAGATATATCGAAAAAGGATATGCAGTTAATCGTACCAACCTTTGCGTAGCCATACTGCGCCTCAACGACCGCTGCTGCCAGGAGGATAGTTGCGAGAACAGTACTGCCAAGAGAAGAAAGGAAAGCGTTTTTCATTATATCATTTCAGTTTATATCGTAAAATATGTAAAGATAAACTGATGCACTTATATCATAATTTTTCAGGCGACGAACCGAATCATGTTGGTCATGTAGAAGTGACGCTGTTGCCGGAACGAAGCACTGCTGAGCGCTGCTGAGTCGGCCTGCCGTCGACGGCCTTTTATACTTGCATTTTCTCCTTCGTGGCCTTCCCGCCCACCCGACACGGTCGGTCGCCGCATGGGAAAATTTGAGAATTGGATTTATAGCTTAAACTTTTATTGTAGACATCACACGTGAAAAACAACAGTTGCTGAAAATGTAAATCTGATTAGTAAACCATATGTAAATAACTTTGCATTATAGAGTTAAATAAAGGAAATAGGAGGAAGGATCGCAGTCGTAGGCCGGTGTGGATTCCACGAAGGTCAGGAGAGAAACGCCGGGCCTATATAAAGGCCGCCATCACTCCACGACTCACACTTCCCTGCTAACTCCCGAAGGAACACTTAAGAGCACTTCAACATGCATTTGTGAGTTTCGATTCACCTTTCTGTACAAAGGAAGAAAGTGGCCATTTTGTCATGATATAAGAAGTGATTTTTTCGCTTCTGTACAGCACATCACTTTCAATATATTTGATTCTTCACGTTCTTTTTCTCCCCAGCTCTCTCCTGACGGCGGCCCTGATGGCGGCAGTGGTGGCGGCGGCTCCTGAGGCCCAGTACGGTTATCAGGCCCCTGTGAGTCACGCCTCTAGAAATGTCTGAATATCGAGAATGCAAATCTTGCCCAATATACTTTCTGACGCAGAATACGAGTTAAATCCCCTGTGTTCTCGCCCCCAGAAGTGCCAGCCTGAGATCCAGTACGTGACCCGGACAGAGACCGTGCCCGAGTACGTAACCACAACCCACTACCAGACGCACACGCAGTACCAGACGCAGGTAAGCTCTCACTCTGTTCCATGTTCTTTCAAATGCTCCATTCCAATGCCTTCGGCCGGCATTTAAAATATTGTATTTAACCTTTATCTATTTACCCATTGCAGTACCAGCCACGCTACGTTACCCAAACGCAGCAGGTGCCACACTACGTCACCCGAACGCAGACGGTGCCCGAGTACATCACCCAGACGGTGCCTCAGTACGTCACCAGGACGCAGTACCAGACGCAGCACGTCACCGTCACCAAGCCATGCCCGAGCTCAGGAGGCAAGTGATCCTTAACCAGTGATAAATTTCCAGCTTAGTGCATTGCCAAAGAACCATTTTGTTTTGATCACGATTTATAATATCCATTTTTTTCACTTCCACAGGCTACGGTGGATACCACGGTTAAGGACTCCCGAAGAATCTCCGTGGTATTTGAGTCTCAGAATCGGCTTATATAATTTAATAAACACTTTTTAAACACTTTATGTTTTACACTCCTTGATAGCATAGAATGCTATACTGAAATCTATTTAAAAAGTACACTAGTCAAATTATTTTTCCAAAGAGATATACAATGTAATGAAGTGGATAAGTATACATGTCCATATATACAAATGCGCACATATACTTATATGTAGATGGATAGATATGTGTGCGACATATATATATATATATATATATATATATATATATATATATATATATATATATATATATATATATATATATATATATATATATGCATGACCTATGTATATGTACATGTATGTGATTGTATGTGCATAAGTATATTCATATGTATATATATATATATATATATATATATATATATATATATATATATATATATATACATATATATATGTATATTCGTGTACTTATATATTGAAACTTCAAACACAAAGATAGCAAACGCACTCTTGATGATAAGGAAGGTATCTACATCATACTTAATATACATAGAAATTAGATGCTAAAAATGCTGAAGATGGAATTCTTGGCCTTATTATTTTCTGGTGATTAAACATATTCAGCTTCATTTCCCACTGACATAATTTATGAAGATAAACCAAACTGAAATAACGATGTTTTTTATATCAGGTACTAATTGTATCCTGTTATATGTACAATATTTCTGACGATCAGAATTAGAACAGCAACAGAAGTTGATTGAGCTCCAAATTTGAAGGAATTAAAGAAGCAGATTGTTTGAGTTACACAATCAATATCTGTTATTTGACAAGAGGAAAGAGCACTCTTGTTAGACATGCTTTCCTTCCTTCGGTCGCTGTCGAACCACTGTGCTTCTTTATTACTTATTAAAGGCCATATTTGGAAGACAGTTTTGAACTTTCTTCCGTATGGGCTTTTCCTTTCTTTTTTTTTTTTTCCTTTGTCATTTATGAATGTCACTCCGGAGACCACAGAAGATGGTGACTGCGTGTGCAACATCCTCCTCCAAACTTTTCCCTCAGACACAAGTACACAGGCCATCCCACGTTGCTACAAAGCCCGACGGAATTATATTTCCTTAGCGGTAGGAAGGCACATCTGTATACATTTGTCTAAATCAATTTTATATACACCGTATTTAGATAGACAGATATATATACTTCATATGTATGTACACACAGGGTTCGTAAATAAGAATGTGCCTCTTGCCTGAATATCGTCTTAAAGTATGACGGTGTATCAATGCATGAAATAAGCAGAAAAGAAAGAGGCTTAAGTGTGGATATGTGGGTGATGCTCTGACGGTTGCCAAAGAGCAGAGCTGATAGAGGAGGGTGATACATGTAATGGTAAATGATCAATAACAGTGACACTGCGACCATTCTCGGGCGAAATGCATATCGGCCAATGAAAGTGATAATGGCTTTGAACATGGAAAATTATAAATAAAACGGTAGCCAATAACCACAACGCGCTTATCAC